TTTGATTTTTCCACTCATATTCCATTAAAAAAATGTATTCCCACTTTCACACACATCTTTGACATCCGCACGGTCACCACCACCTAACACAGTGTTCCGGAGCCTATTGTCACACTAAGCTGTTCCATGTAGCCTTCGGGAATCTGCATGTGATGCTGTCTCCCAAACTTCATCTCAAGTCACAAGGACCCATTTGCTATTTGTGGTTACTGCAGTGTAACCACTTACTCTATTGCTTTTATTTTTAGTCGATATTGCTAAAAAGCTGATCTTTGAAAGTGTTGTTTACAATAAAACTCAACATTTGCAAATACGTCACACTGCCGGTAAGAGTTAGCATGTCTAGGGAAAATGTATTTGGTCTCCTTTTACTGATTTAAACAGGTGACCTCTCCGAGTAGATAGGACTTACTCTAGTTGAGGCAGTTTGTCTCCACCAGAAGTTCTTGGTTCCAAATAATTGAGAAAGTCCTTCATAATACAAGCAAGCTCATAAGGACTGGAATATAAGGTAGTTCCCTCTTTTCTTTTCTTTTTTTTTTTTTTTTTTTTTTTGAGACAGAGTCTCATTCTGTTGCCCGGGCTAGAGTGCCGTGGCGTCAACCTAGCTCACAGCAACCTCAAACTCCTAGGTCCAAGCGATCCTCCTGCCTCAGCCTCCTGGGTAGCTGGGACTACAGGCACGCGCCACCATGCCTGGCTAATTTTTTTCTATTTTTAGTTGTTTGGCTAATTTCTTTCTATGTATAGTAGAGACAGGGTCTCACTCTTGCTCAGGCTGGTTTCGAACTCCTGAGCTCAAACAATCCGCCCGACTCGGCCTCCCAGAGTGCTAGGATTACAGGCGTGAGCCACCACGCCCGGCCAAGTTCCCTCTTTTCTAAGATAATTTTTTAGGGAAAAAATTCTCACCTATTACCTGGGCTCTTCACCACCTTAAGTTCCTCTTACAGAGAGTGGGGATGAGGTCGTGCGTGAACTTCCCCGTGGCGGGGACGGAGGAAGTGGGAGGGTGCATTTGGGTGGATAAAAGGGAAAACTACTCCTCCAGATGTTCTCCAGATGGCTTAACAAGGTAATCCGCGTTAATGAAACAGAAGAAAGTGGCATATGACAAAGGTAAAAGCATTTACATGGGTGCTTGGACCAAAGATCCCAGTTCTCATGAAGGCCCTAGTGGGAATTTTTTTTTTTTTTTTTTTTTTTTTTTGAGACAGAGTCTCATTCTGTTGCCCGGGCTAGAGTGCCGTGGCGTCAACCTAGCTCACAGCAACCTCAAACTCCTAGGTCCAAGCGATCCTCCTGCCTCAGCCTCCTGGGTAGCTGGGACTACAGGCACGCGCCACCATGCCTGGCTAATTTTTTTCTATTTTTAGTTGTTTGGCTAATTTCTTTCTATGTATAGTAGAGATGTGGTCTCACTCTTGCTCAGGCTGGTCTCGAACTCCGGAGCTCAAGCGATCCTCCTGCCTCAGCCTCCCATGCTGGGATTACAGGCATGAGCCACCGCGCCGGGCCCCTAGTGGGAAATTATTTTCATTTCATTCAGCAACTGTTATGGAGATTAGCTCCAAAAGGAAACTAAATATTAATAGAGTTCTGTGTGCCTTAGTATGCTGAAGGGAGAAATGGAAGCCTTTGGAGCTCCTTCAGCACCCTTTACAGCAATGGTTCTCAGAGCGTAGGCCCTAGACCAGCATCACCTGGAAAATTGTTAGAAATGCAAATTCTAGGCCTTCATCCAAACCTCCCAAATCTGAAATTGGGGGTGTGGTCCAGCAATCTGTATTTTAACAAGCCCATGGAGTACTTCTGATGCACACAAAAGTTTGAGAACCAATGCTTTACAAAAGCATTTATTTGGCACCTACTGCAGTGGTTCCCAAGCTTTGCTGCATGTGCAAGAGGGTGGGAAGCAATCAGGCAGGGCTTCCTGGAGTAGGTGCTACTTTAGCTGAGGGCTGGGCAGGATAAGGCAGGGACATGTGTGGGAATAAGGAGCTCTCCAGGGCTGTAGTGGAGGGGCAGATGGAGGGAAGTGAAGGGGAGAAAACCTTTTCCTGCTCCCCTCCTAGGTTCAGTGGCAGGGACCTGTGAATCAAACTGGTAAAAGACTAACAAGATTAGAATCATCTGGGGAGCTTTTAAACTATCCAATGTCCAGGTCACATCCCATACCAATTAAATGTCTGGGAGGGAGAACTAAACATCAGTTGTTTTGTTTTTTAAGATCCCCAGGTGGTGCTGCTATGCTGCAAAGTTGGGGAACCACTGACCTGTGACCTCAGAGAGATAAGACACATTTTATAGAAAGCAGAAAGTGAAATGTGCTGTTTAAAAAAAAAAAAAAACAGACAAAATATCCTGAAGATTCTCTTGAATAAAATGGGGGCTTATTTTCTGCCTCCTGACTTTAAGAATTCCCCTTTCTGTCTCCACTTGAAAGAATTCAGATTGGGTGCCTCTCACCACCCTGTCACACCACAAGTCACTGAGGACGATGGCAGCAATCAGTCACTACATGGAGCTGACCATCGAGCCCGTGCAGCAGGTGAGTGGGCCACAGCCGGGTGTGCAAGAGGGTGGGAAGCAGTCATTCAGGGCTTCCTGGAGGAGGCGCTACCTTAGCTGAGGGCTGGGCAAGACAAGGCAGGGACATGTGTGATATAGTAAGGAGCTCTCCAAGGCTGTAGTGGACGGGCAGATGGAGGGAAGTGAAAGGGAGAAAAACCTATTTCCTGCTACCCTCCTAAGTTCTGTGGCTGGGACTTGTGAATCAAACTGGTAAAAGATTAATTAAGAGAAAAGAAAAAAAACAGCTTTAACTACTCGTACTACTCGTATCAGGGAAGTTCACAAAGAAAAATGTAACTCAATAAGGTGGCCAGATGATTGAAGCTTATATACTGTCTTAGGCTTAACAAAGGAAAAGGGCCTGGGGCTTGCAGGGTGGGCAGGTGAGTTCTGGGAAGGGGAGGGGAGGACCGGTGTGGTCAGTAAGGGCTGTCTGGCTACGCGAGTGTGTCAGGTGATAAGGGACTCTGGAAGTAGCTCTCTTCCTCGTACAGACATCTTTATAAGCACGGATCTCCTCTATACTCTGTTATTCAGCAATTATGGGAAGTAAATAGCTTCTGCTTTTGCTGGTTTTCAGTTGCCATTAGTTCAAAATAATCCATATGCCAAAGAGGCATATTTTGGGTGGCATATTCTGGTACCCTTCAGGAGTGAGGGGAGGCAAGGGTCAGATATCACACCCTGGTGCATAATTGTCCTCTGGAGGCGGGTGGGGGGGCGGGGCAGGGAGGCTCGAGTGCCTAAGACTCAAGGTCAAGGTCAATGTGCATTTCAGAGCCATCACTGTGGCACAGTGGCCTAGGGAGAGGGGAATAGCAGCAAGGCAGTCAGGGAAGGGGCAGTGTGACCTGAACCGAGGCTGGAGCAGATGGAGAAGCAGATGTGGAGTTGAGAGAGCTGGGATGTGGGGGTGAGGGAAGGAGGGCTCTGGATGCCTCCTGGGGGTCTGGCTTACACACAGGGGTCCTCAGGAAGAAGAGGATTAGGCAAGAGGTGACAAGTTCACCCCATCACGCCACTATTCCATTAAGACTGTTCTTGTCAAAGTCACCAGTGACCTCCAAGTTGCTAAATACAGTCATTCCTGTTCTAATTGGGACTCGACTCACCTGGCCACTAGCTGCCTGTGACTTCCGTGGCCCCCACTCTCCGCCCTCCTGGTTTTCCTGCCACCCTCGCAGACTGTTCTTTCCTCATGGCCTCTGCTGGCTCCTCCCCGTAAGCTTGACTTTAGAGCGGGAGTGCCCCAAGCCCTGTCCTAGAAGGGCCCCCTTCTGGTGTCCTCTTGCGGTCCCACAGTCCCCTAGCCCTGGGTGCCGGCTCTTACTGACTTCCCTGTTCTGTGTCCCCATCTTCTCTCCCCGCAGTTCCAGTCTTGGCTGCCCAGCTGCCTAGTCAGCGTCACCATATGGCGTCTCACACTTGCCGTGTCCAACACGGAATTCTGGATTTCCATGCCCAGACCCCCACTTGTCCGTGCAGTGGTTCAAGCCAAAAATCCCTCTCTTCCCCTCGCTACACCCCGTGCCCATCCAACCCATCCACAAGTCCTATAAATGCTTCCTTTAAAGGAGGTCCGGAGTCCAGCAGCGCCCTGACGGGCCTTCCTCCCACCGCTACCAGCAGCAGCTCTGGTACAAATGCACGTTACATCTTTGTTCAAACGCTCCTCTGGCTTTCCACTTAAGGCAGAACAGAATCCAAACTCCTATGGAAAACTTGCAAGGCTCTGTGAGCCCGGGGCTGCTCCTCCCTGGCTGGGCCCCCTCTCCTCACCTGTCCACTCCTCCCACCTGTCCTCCCTACCTGTCTGCTCCTCCCACCTGTCCTCCCCACCTGTCCCCTCCTCCCCACCTGTCCCCTCCTCTCACCTGTCCTCCCCACCTGTCCCCTCCTCCCACCTGTCCTCCCCACCTGTCCCCTCCTCCCACCTGTCCTCCCCAGCTGTCTGCTCCTCCCACCTGTCCACTCCTCCCACCTGTCCTCCTCACCTGTCC